CTCCGGCTGCAGCAAAAAAAAACCAAAACCCTGTGGCGCGGCCGGAGCGCGGGTGCAGGGGGACCGGCTGGGGGAGGGGAGGGGGAGGCCAGGGCTACGGCAGGGGCGCTGCCACGCGGCCCCTCCCGCTGCGTCTCCTCCTGCCGCGAGGGCTCCGCTCCGGTCGGCGGGGAGGGAAGGAAGAGGACTGCCCTGCAGGGCGCTCTGGTTCTCCGCGCCGCCGCCCCCTACAAGGCAGCCGGAGCGGAACAAGAACAAAAAAGCGGCCGTGCCGCCCTAGGATTGGGCAGAATGCCACCTCCAACAATTTGCCGCCCCAAGCACCAGCTTGCTCAGCTGGTGCCTGGAGCCGGCCCTGACTATGACTAACACAATATCTTAAAAACATGTGAGAAATGTCAAGTGGTATTGTTAATTGATCAACTGCAGTGACTTAGGGCATTGCATATACCACTTATTATACTCACAGCACCTAGACACATTTATCAAATTGGTATCAATGTGAATGAACCTAGAACCCCTGCACCCACCCGAAGAGAGTGATCTTGTATTCGCATCTCAGCCTCTGGTGAACTTTTCTGACTTGTCCTTCAGCTGATGGCCCTAAAACCGGGCTGAATTACACGTACGTGAATGTTTCCAAGGGATTGCGACAAAAATTAGTAACTCAGCCTAAATTAACTGATTTAAAAAACAGAAACTTAATCTGGCCTCAGACAAAGAGTTGCTCAATATCCACCCCCTTCTGTGATAGATATGGCAATCTCCTGCAATATCCCTGAAAGCCCATATTGTGTTACGTTTATGTATTATATCGGCTGGGATTGAATGTAACCTCCCTGGGGGAAGATGAGACAGATCATTGGGGTTCATTGTTTTAAATGGATGATTTATGTATAATTGTGTTCTGCTCCAGGGGACAGGGCTACCACAGCTCATTCAGGGACTAAATAGTAGGTAGCAGTTAAGGCAAATCAGCTAGGTGTAGCCTCCCAGAGAGGTATCACCTCCTGGGAAGAAAAGGCATATACCAGTTCAAACCACATTCTCCAGAGAGCAGCAGACATAAAAAGGACTTTTGGATAAATAGCCTGAGTTTAAACTGACTCAGGGCCTTCTTTCTGATTCAGCAAATGGCCAAGCAGGATTGGGGTTGGGGTAATCCTTGTGGAAGGATTGGAAGGAATTGACTTGCATAAGATTGATGGGTGACCTCTGGTAAGCTGTTAACATGTGTATAGGAACTTTTATCAGTTTTTATTATTGGGGTTTATATGTTTTCTCTATAATGCTATTACCTCAAGAATAAATGTGCTTGCTTAGAAACTGTGATAATTTATAACTGCAGAAAATACACTGGCTATAGCCTTCTTAAAGAAAGTAAAATGCAGGCACTGGCCTGTTTAGGCAGTCTGGCTTGTTGAGGATCATAGTATAAATCCAGGGAGCTATGCAGCCTAAAAACCCCAGTCAGGAGGGAGAGAGACGCAGGTCTCTGCCAGAAAGGTGACGACTGGGAGCCAGAAATCTTCAAGTGAGTACCGTTGAGGGACATGAAAGGGGAATACAGGTGAAGTTACCCTGAAACTGTGAAAGCTTTCATATGATTTCAATACTTGAGACCTACCTTATTATGAAAAGAGAAAAGACATTTACAGTCAATTTTACGCTGGTTTGAACTGTTAAGACAATATTAGCAAAGCTTTACGCAAGAAATCTTTGCCTTGAAAAGTATTATATTTAAGTCTTAAGGGAAAAAACTGCATACCTTCTGCATTGAGATGCATCGTTTCAAGCGGCCCTATAAATGCATACCGCATTCCCAATCCATCAGACATCACAAGGTCTAGATCAGCAGGAGATATTACTCCTTCCTAAGTGGCAAAAGGGGGACAGAAAAATCTCAGTGCAAATAATTTTATAGAATTTCGCTTAGTTTCTTTATTTAGAATATAATCTGTTATAGCAAAATTACAAAATACTACCACTAGAGATAGCGAATAATTTGCAAATAGAAAAACAGATCCCCAGACACATCTCTCTTATGACAGGACTTATTATTGTTTAGCATTTATATGTATTAGCTAATTTAAGAGGTGGATTTTTTGCACATGATTGTCATGTTTTAGCATCAAATTATATTCTTTGTAAATCTGAACAAATGAGTCTCTTCTGTGATCCCAGGGGCTGCTTAGGAAGTATTTATTTTTAAGGGGGAAATAACCAGAAAGAGAGATGAAATTGCTTAGAAGTTCTGTTTAAGTGTATTAATATTTTATTTATTCCCCCCCACCAAAAAGCTCCCAAAATAGGGGAAGACCCAAAAAACACAAGTAGTAAAGGAATGGAAAAGGAAAGTAAGGAAGGGAAGGAGGCAGGAATGGGAAAAGGGAGTGACACCTCAGTTTCCATCCACTAAGGATTAATCAAAAATTTCTAAGAAGTCAAACCAAATCTTTTCAAATTTGTCTAAAGTTCCTCTTCTCCAGAATGTTACCCACTCTTTAGCTGTCAGGGCAGCCAAGTCGCTGAGCCACGCTTCTATCGCGGGAGGCAGTCTGCTCTTCCACCTAAGCAACATGAGTTATTTGGTTACAAGCAGTGCTCTAGAGAACCAAGCTTTCCATGAGTTGGAGAGTTTCCAAGATGATGGGCTATATCCCCGAACACAATTCTGGGAAGTCATTTTTAAGGGGCTATCCATTATCTCTTAATCCTCCTGCCTACTTCTAGCCAAAAGGATTGTATCCAGGGACAGTCCCAAAACATGTGAGCCAGTGTGGCTCTGAGAGACCCACATCTCCAGCAGCAGTTTGTTCTGACAAGGCCCAGGCACTGTAACCTATCCAAGGACCAATGTGAACAAAATATAATCTTCTGATGGATCAACCTTCATCGCAGAGCAATAGCAGAGTTATTAATATATTGCAAGGCAGCTCCCCATTGGCTAGGGTTCAAGATATACACAAATCTTAGTTCCAGGCCTGGAACAGACAATCTAAATTAGGGAGGTTCTTTTGGACCAGGAAGTTGTAACAGGCTATAGCTGGTTGGCTGACCCTATGGAGCTCTCTCCACATCAACACAATTCTGGAGTCTCTGGTGCTCCCAGCGCATCAGGACCAAATATGTCCTTCAAGAGATGCTTAAGATGCAGGCAATGCCATACAGCTGGATGGTTGTATTGTCGTTGGAGTGACTGGAATGGTAGCCAATACCGTAGGGGACATTTTACAATTAAAACATTAACACACTGAACCCAGTATTCTTGCCAGTGGGAGGGGATGGACCACCTCCTGTTCCAGAAGCAGCCAGGGAAAGGTCTGTTCTGTTCTGTCCGGAGCCAACCGACTGCCTGGCTAAAGGTATGGGCTGTATGATAATGATCCAGATGAGATTGGGAGTTACAATCTACACAAAGCCAGTCTTGGCCCCCCACCCCCAGAGAAATAATGTAAAAATTTTGTTAAGTTTTCCTAAAATAAAACTGAGAACAGTAACTGGGAGATCTCTCAGGACATACAGTATTTGGGGAAGCACATTCACTAACTTGTCAGACCACATTCTATTATTTAGTTACTACATCTGCATATTACCAATTTTAATTCATTTTAGTCATTATGTGCTTTTCTCATGAGGTAGGGAGCAAAGGAGATAGTATTGCTGAGCATATCATCGACAGAACCGGGACAAGAGATTATTTTATCAAAATCCAGAGACTGCAGCAGAACTTTTGAATACAGGAATTTCAGCTAGTGTTCATGCCCCCCTTTTATTCTCTAGCATTTATCCCCCCGGTTGCTGGCTCTTACTGCAAAATAATCATTTTGACAGAGGAGGCAGGTTTCTCATTGTCCCTGAAGCCATCCCAAGGAATTAGCTGGAAAAACGATGATTAAAGAGAGACAATGCAGCTGTCACCCATTTAACTGGAAACTGGTTGCATCATGTACAGAACTTTGCTTGGCCTCAACCTGCCTGGGGTTCTCAAGTTCACTGCCAACCTCAAGTCTCAGATCTGGCAGGACACTGAGTCTGTGAAATGGAGAACCTTCTTGTTGAAAGCTCAGCACAGCAGTCACACCCATGGGGTACACTTCCAAAGAAGCCATCACACCCTCATAACCAGTTGGGACAGGCACATCATCATTTCTTTTTTACAGGTTACAGCGTATTGCCTCAAAGCTTTTTCTGAGAATAATGTTTCCTTTATAAGGATGTTTCTTGCCCTCTCTCAGATTAGAAAGCTAAGACTGAACTAAGACCATGTTCTATCCCATTCCATCAAGCCAACCCCCTTCACCCCAATGGACACCTAACAAATTATTCTCCTGGCTGCTGGGAAGGTAGAAGAGTTGTCAGGCTTCTTCTACCTTTTTCTCTCCCCTCGTGAGGTTTGAGGGGAAAGGGAGGCTATTCTCCTCCCCTTCTGGTGGCGCTCTATCCCCCTACCTCTTTTCCGTGGCTGATAAGGTTTGGTTGATGGAAGGAATTCCTTTTTGCTACTTCCTCCTATAAAGCCTGAGCCAGTGAGCACCCTCAAATCCCACTGCTTTCAGTGGGAGTTAAGGGCACCCAGTACCTGTTAGGATTAGGCCCAACATGAGGGTCCCACCTGTCCTTTTGCTGAATGCTAGGATTCAATCGCTAACTGAGGTCCAGAAACAAGAACTTAATTGCAAACCCCATAAAGGTATAACAGCAGCAAGCTTTACCTCTCACATCATCTACAAGAATGGGTAAGTACACACCCACTGAAAAGCAAAGAATTGACAAGCTAATGACACCATAAGCCTTACAGTTGCCTGTGTACTTGATGAGCACATCCTCACCGAGTACAAAGAAATGGAGATTTCATCACCACAGCCATAAAAGGAGCCCTTTAAAGGTCTTAATGTCAAATCTCAATCGGTTAGCAGATGTGATCCTGTTAGAGGATGTAGCACTCAGTTGATTCATTGTTGCAGGTGGCTTGTTATTGTTAACACCACCCTGTATATCAGAGGTGGCCAACCTGTGGCTCCAGAGCCACATGTGGCTCTTCAGAAGTTAATATGCGGCTCCTTGTATAGGCACCAACACCGGGTCTGGAGCTATAGGCGCCAACTTTCCAATGGACCAGGGGGTGCTCCCTGTTCAACCCCTGGCTCTGCCACAAGCCCTGCCCCCACTCCACCCCTTCCCGCCCCCTCCCCTGAGCCTGCCATGCCCTCGCTCCTCTCCCCTCCCCCCCCAACCTCCTGCATGCCACGAAACAGCTGATTGGGAGGTGCGGGGAGGGAGGGGGAGGTGCTGAGAGCAGGGTGTGGGAGCTGATGTGGGGCTGCTGACGTATTACTGTGGCTCTTTGGCAATGTACATTGGTAAACTCTGGCTCCTTCTCAGGCTCAGGTTGGCCACCCCTGCTGTATATCAAGGAAAAGGTCATACAATTATTTGTTTTACAGTAATGCCTAGAAGCCCCAGCTAAGAACAGGCCCCTTCTCTGCTAGGCCCTGAAAAGCTTGCAGTCTAATTAGACAAGACAGACAATGGTGGAAGAAGTGTGATTTCCATTTTATAGACAGGGAACTGAGGCACAATGAAGTGACTTGCCCAAGATCACAGAGCAAGTCTGTGGCAAACCTGCGAACTGAACACAGGTCTCCAGAGTCCCAGCCAAGTGCTTCATCCACAAGATCATCCATCTCTAGAGCAGCTTAGAATCACACTTTAAACTGAAACAATTTTTAAGCACTCCCAACTGTTTATGGAATTTTTGCATTTGCAATCTGGGCAGATCAGTGAAGCCATGTTAACCACCCAAAACGGTTTGCAAATGGAAGTAGACTTTGGATGTAAACATAACAAATGACAATGTTCTAACAAAACATGGAGCTTTGATTAATGTTTCATTTAAATTAAAAACTGTAAACATAATGGTATAATATTTCACTCTAGCATCTGGCAGGATTCTCACAATAGCTCTGAATCACTGTAAGATCATTTTCAAATAAGAAATAAATTAGTCTCTCTACTACTGTAGATACACCAGTTTCACAATGCTGAGATATGAAGAGCAATACGCTCAAAACCATTCAACTATGATTCTGCTCTCAGTCAGTATCTTCCACAAACTTTATGGCTTGCTGAACCTGAAGACACTGTCTCGTCCAGTCAAAATGTGAATAACAGAAGTAGATGGCCTTCCAGCTAGATGCATGACAGATTCCTTCAGCTGAGGTTTCACATTATCCTAGTAAGTGGGCTCAGCTGTTCAAAGAAAAATGTTTGCTTCTCTGCTGCCAGGCAGAGCTCCATAAAAACAAAAGCTTTTGTTTTCTTAGCTTTATGACTTCTTCGGAGATTAAAGACAATCAAATAAGGAACCCACTAAACTAATTCCCTTAGGGAATGTTCCAGCTCCCATTTAAAGTGAAGGAGAGTGTTAGCTGGTGGAATGATTCAGCAAAGGGGAAAAGAAATAAAGCTGTAGTCAGCAAGGTGTTTTCCTCAAGGGTTGGTGCTTATGGGAAGAAAGTAAAGAAAGAAAGACTCCCAACCCACTGTGCTTGGGTGTGGAACCCAACCTTCCTGAAGGCATTGTCCCCCTCTGCCTCCCAAGCAGTCAGTGATAAGGCTGTCAGCTGGGCACTTATGCAATTGGCAAGAGGAAGCTGAACTATAGTGAAATGCGTGTTCATCAGGAGGTGGTGGTAACCCTGCACCATGCATTGTCATTGACTTTACTGGCAATAGGATCGGCGCCTTAGTTAGATCCTGCTTTCACCACAGTTGTTAATGACCTCTTCCTGGTTATGCTGCAGGGCGTTTGCTCCACCCTTGACCTTTAAGCTGCTTGTGACGCCACTAATCACATCCTCCTTGAAATTTT